ATAAAAATAAAATATATATGCACAAATAATAAAAATTATTTTTGATTATTTTTAAATAACTTTAAAGTGGTTGGCGTTATTTTGATTAATTATTGTGCCTTGACTTTCCCTTATACGGCTATGTCTTCGGTTACCCTAATTGTCCGCATTGAGCATGCTGGAACTCAATATTATTTTAGAACTAGTAGTGATTATACAATATTTGACTTATGCAGAGAAATTCGCAACAACTTTGAAGAAGCATGTATCGGAAATCGTATGTTTAGCCTTGTCCTCATCTTTTTAGCCAATGAATACGGTATTTTTACATATGATCCGGATCCAAAGCACTCCGCCTGGCTAGAAAGCTCAAAGACGTTATCTTATTATCACATATCGGATCAGGTATTTGTGATTACTATTTATACTTATTTAATAGGCCGAAGTAAGCTATAAATATAAAATGCGGAGGCTTGTTATAAAAACTATGGATGGTACTAAAAAGACATTGCAAGTGGACGATAGCAAATCTATAGCAGAACTTATGTTTACTATATGTGCTAAGATGGGTAATATCTATGAGCTAGAGTGCACTAATACTATATAATCGTATATTTGACTATTTATTTTATTGTTTCAGGCATAACAAATTATGAAGAATATTCCCTTATACGAGAACTTGATGAAGAAGAAAAAATGAAGACCCTGACTATAAGAAAAGCAAAAAGCATAGCAAAGGACGTAGACAAGCTGGAAAAAATGAAGCTTAAGCTACATACAGATGATGACTGTAAGATTAATTTTTTCTGTTATTTAATCCACTTAGTGTCTCTGCATTTCAAATAACTTTATAAAAGTTCCCTTTACCTCATTTTATCTTTTTCATCATTCATTGTCTATATTCTTATTCAGTAAATTGGCTCTCGCATTCAAAAACACTTCGTCAATACGGAATCGATGAGATGGAAATTTTGTTGCTTAGAAGAAAATATTTTTTCTCGGACCAAAATGTCGATGCACGTGATCCTGTCCAGCTTAATCTTCTTTACATTCAAGTACGTATATACTAGTACATTTTTCATAGCAATCTTTGTCCTACACTCCCACTCACTCAAATTTAGTAAAGATCTTTATTAACATTATTTTGCACAAGTAATGAGTTAATTTTTCTATGGTTTACTCTTATATTTGAGTCGATGAATTTATTGCCTTTTATACTTTATGCG